CCTGGATGCGGGCGCCTCCGGCCGGGCCGTGCTCCCTCCTCCCGCGGCTGCGGCCTGGGCCCACCCTGGTCTGTGCCATCACAGAAACCGCCCCTAGTTCTCCTGGCACAGTCTCTTCCCCCTACCGCCATGTCATGTTGCGACAAGCCCTTCCCGCGCCAGACACATCAAAATGCCCTGTTTTCTTCAGTCACCTTTAGCCTGGCTTTTTGCGTTTCTCCTCTGGAGCTAATTTCCGTGGGCACCTCGAGGGAGAGGCTCACTCTGACCGGCGGACAGCCAGCGTCTTCCACGCCTGACCGACGACACAAGCCAGCTCCCCACACAGACGCCCCGCCTGAGGGCGGTGTCCCTGGCCCGCGGCGGGGAGGCACTGCCAGGGCCTGCCCTCACCAAGCACCCTGGCTCTCCTGAAGCTGAAGGAGCTGAGGCGTGGGCAGCCTCCTACGCACGCCACAACCCGCGCCCCTGCCGGGACCCCGCCCTTGGGGCACAGGGACGTCTAGGCCCAGCGGAGGGGAAGGTGCGACCTCCACCTTCAGGAGCCCTGAGGCGGGCGTGTCGCGGTCGCCAGGTGCCTGAGCCCCGGGGGCTTCGCTTTCTCCCCAGGGTGACATCCCAGCCCAGGCAGCCCAGGGAGAGGGCCCTGGGGCAGTGCCAGCGTCCAGCCTCCAGACAGGTGTCCGGCAGGCGAGGCCCCCGCCCCGCCACCAGCCCACAAATCAGCACACAGACCAAGGTCCCAGTTTGAACGGGGTTTTTGGTACCTGCAGCGTCCTCTGACGTCGGCAGTGACCGTCTCTAGAGTCCTCCAGCACGCGGCGGCCCTGGCCTGGGGCGTACCAGGTGGCACTCGCAGGGCCGTGGGAGAGCCGGTCTCCCCCTCCGCCCACGGCCCGTGGCCGCAGACCCGCCTCCAGGCAGCAGGCGCCTCGCGGCCTCGGTTCTCCTCAAGCCTGCTCTTGCCGAGGGCGAGCCTGAAGCCAGGCTGCCGCCTGCTCGGTCCCTGTCCCTGAGTCTCCCCAGCCACGCTGGGAAGGGACGTGGCCGGAGCCTGCACCCACGGCGCTTGGAACCCCCCGCGGCGCCTGGGCCTTCTCTCCTTGTCTCTCCGGGACCCGCGCGGCCCCCAGGCGCCCTAGACACAGACGCCACAGTAACCGGGAAACGGTGGCGCCTCGGGTGCAGGGCGGAGGCGGGCGGGAGGGGCGCCCCGTGGCCAGTCCAGCCCGCCGAGGACGAGCTTTCCCTTCTGCCACGACGCCTAGACCAAGCGGAGGCGGAAGGTGGCGACCTCCATGGGCTCCAGGTAGACGTCGGTGCTGTTGGAGGGCGAGGCCAGCGCGTACAGCAGCGTCAAGGAGGTCGGCTGGAGGAAACTCACGTCCAGGCCACGGAAGAGGCTGCCCAGGGCCACCTGCGGAGAGGGGCGCGGACACACTGGACCCTGCAGCCCTCGGCAGGGCCTGTCCCGTGCCCGGGGTCTCAGAGGCGCATACGGGGGTCCATGCAGACGTGTGGGTGTGCAGCCGGTCTGGGGTGCCCTGGGGCGGGGCTGGCGGGTGGCACAGGTGCCAGGACGTGGGGGTGCCGGCGCAGGGGGGCAGCGGGGGACCCGGACTCGTGTGGTGGTGTCCACTCCACACGATGGGCCTGCCGCGGCTGCTCTGTGCCCCGACCAGAACTCGCCCCACTAGGCCTCCGCAGCTCTGGGCACAGGCCCCAGCGGCCCCGCTCTCCAGAGGCCCAGAGTGACCCGTCGCCGCCCTGGCCCCGGCCTGTCTCCAGGGCCTGCCGCCCCGCCGGCCGCTCACCTTGCCCTGGCTTGTGGTGCAGTTGAAGCCTAAGTTCTTGGCCTCCAGGCTGCAGTCGAAGCCCTTGCGGTGTAAGATGAGGGCGGCATCTGCCGAGGGCGACGCAGCGTCCTGGGCAAGAGCACACGTCTGTGGCGGCAGGCCGGGAGCGCTCGCGGGGGCCCGGGGCCGGCGGACACTCACCTCGGCCTGCAGCGCGCGCAGGTTGAGCAGGTGGAAGTCACAGGGCAGGGGAGAGGCCAGGGGGTGAAAGGAGCGCAGGGCCGGGCCGGGCGGGGGCCGCGTGGCCACGGGCAGGGCCAGGGCCGGGCTGTTGAGGTGGGCGGAGGTGAGGTGGCTGAGGAGGGAGGGGTAGCTGGTGGGCTGGTCGTCCTGGGCCTGCAGGGTGAGCGAGCCAGGTGAGGAGCAGCCTCCCGCTTCTCCGCCATGGGGTTGGGCTCCCCGCGCTCGCCCGGACCCCCACGGGCTTGCCCAGGGCCCCGGGCCCGGAGACACACGCCCCCTCACGCAAGCCCTCCGGAAGCCGTCCTCGGCCCTGGGCCCACGCCCACTGTCCAGCGCGGCTGTCACAGACGGCGACACCGAGGTCGCGACCTGGGCGTGCATGTCCCTGCTGGGCCTGAGCCGGGGCCACGGACGCGGGGGCTGGGTGCAGGCCCTGCCCCCCACTGCTCCGGGGTGCCTGAGGCTGGAGGCTGAGCGCGGGCTGGGGCCAAGGGGTCCTGCCCGCACTGTGCCCCCCCAGGGGTGGAGGTGAACCTCGCCGCCCAGGACGCGCCGCTCCAGCAGCAGCCGGAAGTGGTTGTGGGTCCGCTTGTTGTCCTTGAGCCCCTGGCCCAGGCCCCGGTTGTCGTCCTGCATCAGCCGCCGGTCCAAGATCACCTCCAGCTGGCCTGGGGGACGGCACCGTGAGCCCCTGGCCAGCCGCCAGCCCCCGCAGCCCGGAGGGACAAATCCTGAGCGAGGGGCCTGAGCGTCCAGGGAGGCGGCGGGGCTGCAGGGCTGGGGGGCTGCGGGGCTGGGGGGCTGCAGGGACTGGGGGGCTGCGGGGCTGTGGCCAGTGTGTTGTGACACTTTAGCCAGGAGACCAGTCTGGGCCTGTCCGCAGGGACAGCTGAGCTCGCCCGCCTCCTGGGCAAGAGGCTGCCCGGGGACAAGTAGATGGCCGGGGCAGGTCCAGTGCCCTCTGGCCACCCCAGGAGAGGCAGGTGGTCACTCTCGTCTCTTTTAAAGCACCTGGGAAGGAACTCGGAACCCTGGCGTGTGGGGTGAGAGTTTTCCCAGCGCCTACTTTTTCTAAGGACTCGGGGGCCCCCACACAGCCTCCGTGTCCTGCCCCTGCCCACCGCCCCACCCCCGACCGGAGCCGACATGGTCTGTCCTGAGCCATCACCGAAAGGTAACTTGGGGCCTGCCCACCGGCCACTGCACTCGAGGCCGCGGCCAGCACACTCCCCCGAGGGCAGACGGCAGTGGGGACACCGGGCTCGTGGGGGGGCAAGGGGGGCGGGGCAGCAGACAGCCCCCGCAGGAGTCAAGGCCAGGGTGGGCCGCGCCCAGCTGAGCCCCCAGGAGGCCCCGGCCTCAGGCCCTTCCTGCCCTAGGCTGGCGAACCCCTTCCAGCCGTTTCTCCTTTGCAAACTACCTCGTGGTTACATCAAAGGCACTTTCAAGCTGGCGGACACGGGCGCAACAGCCAGAGCCCCGCCCCCCGCGCCCTCACCGTCGCGCAGGCTGGAGGCGCCCAGCGCCTGGGCCGAGTGCAGCGTGAGGCGGCTCTGCGCGTCCTGGATGTAGGCCATGACGGGCATGGGGTAGAAGTTGGCCTGCAGGGGCAGCTTCCTCAGGTACCGCCGCGGCTGCACCTGCGGGCGGCGGCCGCTCAGGGGCTTGCACTCCCAGTCTGGGGCCCCGCCCGCCCGCCGCCCCGCGGTCCCGGCCGCACCTGGAAGCCGTTGAGGTCCGTGAAGAAGGCGCCGTGGCTGGCGATGTCCGTGTGGAGGCGCAGGGCCAGCTCCTTGTTGACGTGGTCCCGGATGTCCACCAGGGCGGAGACGTCCAGAGACAGCCCCTCCACCCCTGGGTGTGGACAGGAGGGCACTGAGGGTGCGAGGGGCCCCGAGGGGCGGCTGGGGGAGGCTGTGCCCTCAGCGGCGGCTCCTGGGCCCGTGGGCGGCCTCAGGCCGAGAGCGAAAGGCTGTCCTGGCCGCCCCTCACGTCTGCCGGGGAGGCCGGCCGGGCGCAGCTCACCTGGCAGGTTGTAGAGCCGGACCACCTGGTGGACGTGCTCGTAGTAGGCGGCCACCTCGGAGAAGAAGGGGCCTTCGGTGACGCGCAGCACGGGGGGCTCCTTGGGCACGTAGGGCTGGGGAGAGCGGGCGCGGCTGACGCTCGGGGGCGGGCGGCTCCGTGGAGG